GTGAGCCCCTACAGGCATCAAAGTGGAGGCAACCCCAGTGGGAGGAGGAGGGGGCTAGCTCCATCAGGCCGGCTGGAGGCAGGGCAGGGCAGGGTGCCTCTACTGGCTGAGGATTTGGGACCCAGGAAGCCAGAATTCCCAGCCCTCAATCCTTCTGCCTCTGCTCTTGCTGTATCTTTCCCTGAGATACCGCTAGTGCTTGACTTGAGGGTTTGTTTCTAGACTCAGCGGGATCCTCCGTGTGACCAGGTCCTGGGCAGCCCACAGGACACTCAGTGCCTCTCCAAACACAATCCCACGAACTCTGAAGTCTCTCTAGAAAAGAAAACGCCCCACACCCTCCTCTCCAGCTCTACCACTCCTTAAGACAGGGGGTTGTGTCTCCTTGCATATGAGTGGTCTTAACTCTACCATATAGGGCGTGAGGAGTTGCCTGCAGGATAAATCCTGGACAGGGATTGCTGGGGCCGGCCCTGCTGAGTTTAGGGGTCCTCGGGTGTTGCATACCCGCTGCAGGTCCTGGGAACTATCCCAGGGGCTCTCTCAAGCCTTTCCCACTAGGTACTGATATTACACCTGCCCTGTGTGTATGTGTGTGGGGGTGGTTACACCTGGGGGGCCCACCTGGCCCATCTCTCAGCACCTTTTGTCCAGCCAGCCCTCAGCACCTTGGGGGGAGGTGACAGGAAGGCAGGATGGAAGGAGGCATGGATAGCATTTCTCTTTGACAGAGTGAACCCCTAGTGAGGGCTTCACTGGGAAGGACCTGTTGACTCCAAGTTCCTGAGGGATGAGCAACAAACCAGTCCCAAGGGGTTCTCTTCACAGCGATACATCCCTCCCTTGTGGGCAGTTCCTATTGGAGACAGAAGAGGGCAATGAGTGTGCGGATTCAGTGTACACAACCCTGGGTGCAGACGGCTTAGGCCAGTTGACTGTGCCAGGGAAAAAGAGAGTTGGGGGTTGGGGATCCCCCAAGGGCTGTTTAAAGAGGGAAGGACACAGCCAAGGCCAGGCCTAGTCACCAGGTTCAGTGACCCTGAAGACCCTCACTTGCCTGAGGGAGTGCTTCCCGAGTGCCCCCTGCTGATTTATGGGCCTCCCAGGGGAGCTGGAGTTATGCTGCAAAGACCTGGCTCCCTCCTCCTCCACCTCCCTGTTGGGGTCAGCCCGGGATGGGGGTGGCTCTCAGCTGGTTTCCAGATGGGCTTTGTGGAGGGGGTACCTGGGAGGGGAGATCAGACACCCCAGTAAGGACGTGGTTGGTGTCAGCTGGCCTCTGTCTCTCTCTCCTTGCATCTCACCCTCTACGTTTGTCTCCTGTCTCTGTCTCAGGCCTCGTCTCTGTCACACACGGCCTCTGCAGCCCCTGTTCCCCACCGGTTGGCCCTGGTGGGTGGGGGTGGGAGTTGGTGATTTATCACCAGCCGCCTGTCTTCCATCGGAAACGCCGGGGGTGGGCGCAGACGGTGCAGTGAGCTATGGGCCCCCAGGGCTCCGCCACCCACCCCAATGTTGTTGCTCTGTCTGGGCGGCGGGTGCGATCCCCCTCCCCACGTGGCCTGGACTTGGGCCCCCCACACCTTCCCAGGCTTCCTCCGCGCGAGGCCCTAGGCAGGTCAGCCAGCTCAGAGGCATCCCCAGGCTGGAGCGGGCCCAAGGGAGCACCCCAACGCAAGCTCGTCCCTAAGGTGGTCCGGAGGTGTCGGAGCAGAAGCTGTGTCCTGGGCTGCCCTCACTGTTGCCCGCCCCGCCCTCGCCGCGGAGCACACAGCGGAGGCCCAATAAGTGTTTACGGAGCAGACTCCAGCAGGAGGGGGGAGGGTACACCTGGGCCGGCCCCGCCCCTGCGCCGGGTGGAAGAGGTCCCTTATCTTCTTGGCTGACAAGCTGTCACTGCGCTCGTGAGGGGAAGGGAGGGGAGAGCGCCGCGCTCACCCACTCCCTGTCCGTCAGTGGCCGCGCGGACGCCCCCTCGCTACCCCTATGATGAAGCGACCTGCCCGCCTCTCTAGGTGCAGTCCTCGGTAGCGTGGACACGACTTCCCCTCTCCCCGTTTCGGTTTCTCCGAGGACGCTGGCTGTCTGCACTCACAGCATCAATCTACGCCCCAGTTCGCGCCTTCGCTGGCGTTTTCTGCAAGCCACGAGCGCCCTCTGGTGCTTCCCCGGGGTCGCAGCACCGGAGGGGAGGACTGGACCCTGCGCTAGGCAGGGTGAGTGCCAGAGCACCCGTCCATTTCACAGGGCGGAGGTAGAGGCTCTCAGTGGGATGTCCTGGATGCGTCTACTTCGGGGCTGCCGTAGGCCCTTGCCGGAGCTCCATTTGTTCAACTCTTTGGTCAGTCGCTTGCTGTCTGGTGTGCGCAGACACCAGATGTGGAAACAGACCTAGACACAGGGTCCTGTGTCAGACCGCAGAAGGCTGGGAAACTCCTTGAGCCCGGAGAACAGGCCTTGGATGGGGCCTTGAAGAGGGATGACAGTGACAGAAAGGAGGGCATCAGGGCAGGACTGTGGCCCTAGGGAAGGTGTGGAGTGGCTGGCTGGTGAGACAGGGTACCCTGAGGTCTAAGCCTCCATATATAAGAAGTCCAGGGAGGCTTCCTCAGCACGGCACTGTGCTGCGGTCCCTTTGCACGCGTGGGCTGCAGGGCTTCCCTAAGGCCTGGAGGTGTGGGGGTCTGGGCGGATCTTGAGAGAGGCTCCCTGCTTTGTGCTGGCCTAAGAGGAGTCTGAGGCCACAGAGGGCAACAGCTGGTCAGTGGGCAGGAGGCCTGGGGCCAGGTGTGTTGTCTATGAAGTGGTAGACATTCAGGGGCAGGGGCCTAGGGGAGGGCATGCAGCCCCCTCCCCCATAGGGCCATTCAGGGGCGCTGAGCTGGGACCAACCACTTCCCTGAACTCTTTGGAGGTTGAGGCCCCAGGCTCAGCACATGGGAAGGTCAGTGGAGGGTCAGGAGTTGGGACTAGGAGTCCTAGTTCACTGGAGGAGGTCAGTTAGTGAGGCAGGCTGTGTCTCCATCCCCCGACCCCCCATCTATACCCTGATACCAGCCAGTCTACACCATAGGGTAGACCTAGGGGAACATGGGGTTCAGCTGCCTCATTGCTCAGTACGCAGGGATTCTTCCTTATGTCTACACACTATGGTTTCAGCCTTGTTCTCCCATCAGAAAAGTCCCAGTGGCTCTGAAGCTCCTGCCCCTCAGGGCGTCCATGCCCACACTCGCCACCAGTGACTGGCCCTGGAGTCCTCAAACCTTGTGAACAGAGGGTAGTGGGTCTGGGCTCCTCCCATAGCTCCTGCTGGGGTTTTTCATCCCACAGCCCAGGATGGGGGTACCTCCTTCTCAGCTTGGGGTCACCCTGAACTCTGGCCCACTTCTTCTTAAGCCCTGCATTTTCCCCAAGGGCTCCAGTGCTGAGGAAGATGGGGGTCCCAGGGACTTGTCTCAGCTTTGGTCTCTGTGTAGCCACAGAGAGAGCTCTGGGGCCCAGCAGGGACAGCCTCTTCAGGATTTTGTTTCCTCCACTGGAAAGCAAAGGAATGCTTCCCTCTGCATCATGTTCAGAGAGAATTTAGGGAGTTGCTTGTGTACCTTGTCTGCTACCTCTGACCTCTGTCAGAGGTTGGGAGGGGGTGCCAGCCACTCCTGGGGCGGGGAGATGTGGGCAGTTCATTTGTACAAAGAGGGCCACTGTCTCTGATGTGGTGATAAGGTCGGATGGACAACCGGACAGTCAGCTACAGCCCACAATGAGCCGGATGCCCCACACCTGTCCACAAAGGAGGGGGTAGCTAGTGCCTCACTTCTGACCAGCAGCCTCGAGATAGCATCAGCCCTACCAGAGGGCCATCCATCTTGTCCAACAAAGACCAGGACAAAAGCTGTGTCAGGGGCAGCCTCCCGACCTGGTCAGTGGCGGTCAGTGGGTACCCAGGGCCTTCCTGTGCCCAGCCCTGAGGCTCCTCATCCAGTCCTGTTGGGGGCCCTCAGAGAACAGCCTTCATTGTTCACAGGGCCAGCTGGGTGGGACCACCCCAAGGGTGGGAGAGGGACCCTGTCCCAAGCATCCCTAAGCTGGCTCCAATAGCGAGGAAGTGTCAGAGGGGCACTCTGTGCCTCGTTAGCAGGCAAGAATCTGAGGACCTGGTTGCTCAGCGCCAGGGACAGGACTCGGGGAGCAGACCAGGGGTTAGAAGGCCCCGAGGAGCTCCCTCACTGGTCTGAGCAGTTAGGGAAGCTCTCCAGAGAGATGCAGCAGTGAGGGCGGACTTGCTAGGGAGGTAGAGGATAAACGAGAGGCAATGGTGAGAAGGGCACCATGTGCCAGGCAGAAAAAACAGCTTGCTCATGGGTCTTGCTGGGAGGCAGGGTCAGTGGGGCCCAGCTCAGGAGCCTGGGAAGGCAGCAGCTGTGGGGACAGTGTGGGCAGGGACAGTGTCCTCAGTGTGGGCTTTAAATCCTGGCACAAGGGGTTGGAGGTTGGAGCTGCTGCTGTGGACTTGGGAATGGGGATAGGAAGATCAGGTGTATATGGAGGGGCCCAGGCTGTGGAGCAGGCCTGGCTCACTAAAAGCCAGAGACGTTGGCACCCACTCACACCTGCAGGGGATTTCCACGGACCCCACCTTCCAGGCCTCCATATCTACAGAACTGACTCCGCACTCAGATCACCCAGGGAGTTCCACATGGATTATAGACTCCGCTGGAGTCCCAGCTGCTCTGAAAGCTCTCCACACAGCAGGGTGACTGATAGGGGTCACCTCAAGCCCTGAGCTGTCCTCAGCACACTCGTGCTCCCTCAGTGCCTACAAGAATCTGCTGAGCACCCTCAGTCTGCCTGTCCACATTGCTGCGCATGTCCTCTCTGTCCACACTGCCCCCTGACTCTTGCTTGCCCCAGGCCAGTTGGGCTCACTGTGAAGATGTGATTGTGTCCCTTGCGCTCCCTCCCTGAGGCCTTTTCTGGGGTTCAGCAAATGGGATCCATGGTCGCTGGTGCAGACAGGCCAGATTAGAAGGGTTTATTCAGCACGAAGTTGGGGAGGGGAGGCTCCTAGGTGTTGCGCTGCAGTAGCTAGGCGCCTCCACCTCCCCAAGCATAGAGGGTGTAGGTCGCCTCACTCTGTCCTACGTGGATTCGGGCCTTCAGGTCTTGGAGAGGCTGGGAGGCTGGGCAGAGGCCAAGGCGGGTCCAAGAGAGGGCGAGGGCTTCTCGGGCAGGGTTTTGTCGAATATGCAGATCCACGATGATTAGTGCCAGTCCGCTCCTCTTAGGACTCGCCCGCCTCATCGGGCTTATCCACCAACGGGGCGGTCAAGGGTAACTGGTGTGCGACGCGGGCGCGGGCGCGGGTGCGCAGCTTCTGCAGGCGGCACAGAAGCAGTGCCAGGAGCAGGGCGTGTAGCAGCCCAAGGCAGAGCAGCGCGAACTGCGTTGCCAGCGACCCCAAGCAGAGTCGGCTGGGCCTGCATGCTGCACGTAGCTCCTCCTCGGCTAGGTAGGGCAGTAAGCGGCCTCGCAGGATAGGGGGTGAGGCGCAGCGCAGGTCGCGGTAAGGAGCGCGTTCCCGGCGGCCGGCCAGCCAGGCGCGCAGCGGCACCAGGCGGCAGTCGCAGCGCCAGGGGTTAGCGCCCAGGTGCACGGCGCGCAGCGCAGGCAGTGTGTCCAGCAGCCCCAGCGGCAGCGCCGTTAGGTTGTTGCCGGTCAGCACCAGGTCTGTGGTGTCAGGCGGGAAGACTGCCGGCAGCGAGGCCAACGTCAGCCCGCGGCGCCCGCAGTCCACCTGCGTCCCTGCGCAGCTACACGGCTCGGGGCAGCCCACAGCCGCGCAGCTCGGCGGCGCCAGCAGGAGCAGCAGTAGGCTCAGCGCCCCGTGCGGCCCTAGAAGAGAAGGGCTGAGATGAGGAGGTGGGGAGCACCCAGGTGGCGTCCCTGAGTGTCCGGGACGCTGAGCCCAACTCCATGCAGCTCCTGGGGCACATAGCCCTGTAAGTGCCCTGCCTCCCCACCTGATCACGCCATACACTGGCTGAAATTCCCCAATTTTATCCAACCCTTTCCCTATTAAAGCCAAGGTGACCAGAACCCCGCCTAACCTGGCACTGCCCAGGAACCAGCAGACCTGACCCCAGACTCACGGGAGCCCATGGCGAGAGGTCGGTGACCCAGCTTGTTCTGGGGCGGGAGGCGTTGGCCAGAGAGCCAGCCGGCTCCTTACGGGGCCCTGAGCCCGCCGCACAGACCACAGGGCTGCTACCGGGCCAGAAATAACCCGGAGACCACTCGGACCAGCGCTGCAGCCTCAGATAGAGCGCTATCGCCAGGGCCCGCCGGCTGCCTGGGCTTCCGGACCCCACCCGCTCCCAGGGGCACACGGAACACTCGGACACCCGCAGCGACGTTCACCAACATTGTTCTCCTGTCTCCAGGACAGGACTTGGCATTCACAACTTAACAAAACGGAGCACGGCAGGGTGTGTGTGTCGGGGGGGTCATGCGGGTGGAGAAATGGAAGAGGCTGAGGGGTTGAGATACCAGCACCACAGTGCTGCTGGAGAGGGCACCTCGAGCTACGGGCAGGGTACAGCCGCCTGGGCATGAGGGCTGCCAGGGGGTGGCCCACCGCCCCCTACCCCTGGGGCCCTCTACATTTGCTGGAGGTTGTGAGGATGAGGCTAGACTGCTTCAATGGCTGGTCCCACCCTCCTCAACAAGAAGGCTCCACCTTCTCCTCTGGTGCCTTCCCAGCTGCTTCAGCAGCCCAACCCTGCCTGCTGGAGTCCCCAGTTTGGGTGACTGGGTAAGGGAGGACCCGGGCACCTTGCACAAAGTAGGGTGTCAGTATACACTGGGTGACTCACAGAAACTGGCACAGGGGGCTCCTGAATTCGCTCTGCAGCACAGGGGTGGGGAACTAGGCCCGGCCCCTTTCCCCTCCTCCACCTTGGTTTATCCCCTTGCCTGAGCAGGGCTTGGAGCCTGGGTGCTCTGACCTTCTCGGGGAGGGGAATCTAGGAAATTGTGTCCAAGTTGGCTCCTGATCCCCCAAGGCCAGAGTGGACTGACTTTTGGGGGAAGCACTGTTGTTCAGGCCCCCGGGGAACAGATACAAAGGACCTGGAGGGACAGATGCCAAGAATAAATTAGGGTCATGGGGAGGGGGGGTCGTGGCTCCACGTCTCTGGGTTGGGAACAGTCCCGTCAGGGCCACTCTAGGTTTAGGGTTGGGTCCAGGCCCCTCTGAGATCCAAGTGAATCCAGGGTGGAGTCCAGACCAGTCTGGGGTCCGGGGGTGGGAGAGGCCAGAGGCAGGCGGTCTATCCCTGGCGACTGGGGCTGGAGCAGCAGGGTCACTGGTCCTGCATTTGCTGCTTCATCTTCTGCAGCATCTCTTGCATTCGCCTTAACTGAGGTCGGGGACAAGAGTCAGGGTGAGAAAGGAAACCCGAGAGGCCAGGCTCCACCCGCCCTGGGAAGTCACGCCCAGCCCTGGCCCCGCCCCATCAACCCAGCCCTGACTCCACCCCTTCCACCCCCGCCTCTGACCAACCTCCTCGTCCTTCATCCTGATGAGCTTCTCCGTCTCAACATCTGGGGTGGGCAGTGGTAGGATGGGGATGGGGCTCTCCATGCGGCTGTCCTGGGTCAGTTTACTGTAGCGGAGAGAAGGGAGGGGCCGCACTGCTGGGAGGCTTACAGTGCTGGGCTGGGGCATGCCTGAGGGTCTCCTGCCCGGCCTAAGGCCCCTGGTCTGATTTGGGGAGATCAGGCACTGTAGAACACCGATTTGAGGATCGGAATAAAATTCAGGTCGGGGCGGAAAGGACATGGCCAACCCTCTCGGTGGCGGGGGCCAGGCCGGGTTTCCGTGTGGGCATCGGGACGGCCCACCTGGTCATCTGCTGGATGCAGTGCGCACGGTAGTTCTCGTAGTGCACGTCGCACGTCACGTCCTTGAGGTCGTGCATGTGAGTGCGGATGAGCATGTTGCGCAGCTTTACGAAGTCGCAGTGCGCCTGATTCTCCACTGTGGGGCAGGAGTGCGCAGTGGGTGGGTGCTACCGGGGAAGCCCTCCCACCCCATCCCTAGTATCCCAGGCCTCAACTCACCCTCCACGATCCCCCAGGGGTACAGTCGCCCCCGGACTCGCTGCCCTTTGGCTTCCACCACCGTGTTGCTGCCAATAACAGCAAAGGGAGCGCTCTCCTGGGGGCAGGGGAGCAGAGGTCCAGTGGGGTGAGTGCCCACAGTGGCTGGAGAGGGTGTGGGGGGCAGCACCAGGCCTCCCTTCCAGAATCCCTATCACCAACACCCCCTCCCCAGAGATCCTGGCATCACCTGTCTTCTGGCCTCTCTGCTGCCCACTGAAGCCAGATCCTGCGCAGCTCAGACCCTCAGGACCTCTGTCAGGCTGTGCCCGCTACATTGCTCCCCTACAGATCCGTTCTCCCCATCAAGAAACACACAGCTTTTCCCCTCTTCCTCTCAACAGCTGAGATCATGCCCCGCAGCGCCTGTCCCTGGCTTGGGTCTGTCATTACTACTCTAGCTGCTGGGACACCCAAAGTCACCACCCTTTGTAGCTCAGGTTTCTGGAAGCCAGGGCATACCACTGCCATGGGGCTACTAGACTAGCTGATGACCTATGGGAAGCGCATCAAGGTGACCCAAGCAACAGCTCCATGACCCACTAAGCAGGCAGGTGAGGCCCCAGTGACCCACACAGGCCAGGCAGAGATTTGGGTCACCTTTACCCTCTGGCCTTTGCTGACCGGGTATAGGTCTCTTACCGTCAGGACAACTTATGACCTTAAGAGGTCAGACCTGGGTGCTCAGCCCTTCAAGCCCTGTGTGAATGGGTCTCATGTGGGCTCCAATTCTGTCCCTGACCACCTCTACCCTCCATCAACCTGGCTTCAGTTCACCTTCAGTTCCCGGTCCTGCTGCTTAAAGTCCTCGTCCTCATCCGAGTCACATTCTGGGAACTGGTACACATGGATCCCAAACCTGTCGATCTCCTCCCGGATCTGCAGTGGCAGGGCAAGAGCTGTCAGATTTGGGGCTGGCAAGGTACCCCTGGTACCCTGTGCCCCAGATTCTCTGACCAGGCTGCTCTGCCACAGCAGGCTCACCCGCTCCTTCAGCTTCCGGGTCTCGCTGGGGACCAGGCAGTCAGCTTTGGCGATGAGTGGCACAATGTTTACCTTCTCATGCAGAGCCTTCATGAAACCCACATCCACTGGCCGCAGCCTGCAGAGAGCAGCCGGGGGGTGGGATGGGCACGGTGAGGGGAGGCGGCGGCACAGTGACAAGCACGGCTACAGGGATACTCAGCAGGTGGTGAAGACTCACATACCCATGCCCAAACGGGGAGATGAAGTATAGGCAGCAATGCACCCGGTTGTCCTGGATGTTCTTGCGGTTGAGGCCACTCTCATCACGGAAATACTGCTCAAACTGCTGATCGACATAATCACTGATGGGCTTCCAGCTGGGGGTGGGAGGATCATGAGGCCAGCGGTGAGGCTGCCCGCCGGACCGGTGAGGCAGGGGTTGGCTGGGGCAGGGGCCCATTTTCCAGCCAGGCTTTTCTCACCATTCGGAATTGTTGACAGCATCCCCAAAGCCTGGTGTGTCCACAATGGTGAGCTTCAGCTTGACTCCCTTCTCTTCAATGTCCACTGTGTGCTTCAGGATCTCGACCGTCTGGTTGATGCGTTCTGCGGGGCACAAAAGGAAGGCATTGTTCTGAAAGCCTGTCCAAGCTGCTTGTGCTCATCCATCCCAGTGCCTTGGTCCTACACAGCCTGTGACCTAGGCCACTTCTTCTGGCCCTGAATAAGGGTCCACACCATGAAGAGAGTGGGAGTGAACCTGGAAGGGTCCCCTTTAAGGAATCCCCTGGTAGGAGTTGGTGGATTGGTGCCAGGACACGTAGGGTGTACTTACCCTCAGCACTCAGCAGCTTTCTGTCTTTGTACAGGTCGGTCAGGAAGAGGCTGTGGACCAGTGTGGACTTTCCCAGGCCCGACTCACCTAGCCACAAGTACAGTGAAGGGGCTGGGTTAGGTCTTGGCCCCTCTCACCTGAACTTGGCTGGTCAGTGGCCCCAGCCACTCCACCCAACAGCCTGGCCCACTCACCAGCCACCATGAGCGTGAAGTCAAAGCCCTTCTTCACCGATTTTCTATGTACCTGGTTGGGCAGTGTGGCGAAGCCCACGTACTGCTTGTCGATATCCTGGGGGCGGCAGTGAGGCAGGTCAGGGGCATACTAGGCTTCCACTGCAGCAGCCCAATGCCCTATCCCCTACCTGGCTCTGGAGGAGGAGGCTGCAGATGGTATCCCCCAAAGGTATGGCATTTCATTGGCAAAAATGGGGTGAGGGCTTGTAGACAAAAGCCTGAAGGTGGGAAAACAGGTGAGGGGGTGGCAGAAGAGGGCAGCTCTCTGCCGGCCACAGCCAGGGGCTTTCAGGGACCCAAAACTGTGTAGGAGGGGGGGCTGGGCATAGAGAGATGGTAGACCGCACGAGGCATAGGCCATGTCTTCCCTTCTTGGCGGAAGGCACCAGGACTGAGACCCCTAAGACACTCAGAAGCCTCCACAGGCAGGAGGAGCCTAGGCCTGAACACTCACCTCTCCCCAGAGTACCCAGGGTGGGAGGCCCACCTGGCCCCAATCCAGCCCTGGGGGTGGCAGCTGCAGCAGCAGGCGAGCAGGGGCTATTTATAGACAGTGGTGCTCAGCCGCCCCCACCGCAGGGTCCCAGCGCCCACCCTCGAAGGTCTTTGGCCCTGCGGCCCCTGCCACGTCCCCGATCCAGTGGGTCCTGGCCAGGCAAGTGTGCACACACTGACCCACATTCCACCCTCTCCGCACACACGCGCGCGCACACACACACACACCTTGAGCCGCCTCTGGGCTTGGGTCCGCGGCGACAGCAGCTGCTCCACCAGGCGGTCCTGGGGCGCTGCCAGCGAGTCCATCGCGGCGACCCTTGAGACCCTGCCGGCCACGTTCAGACCCCCAGACCCGGGCAGGCCAACCCGAGCCTGGCGTTCGCTAAAGACTTACGCGCGGCACTGCTTTTAAACCCTGCTCTCGCCCCAGTTTTGCGGACCCGAGAGCCGAAGCCTGGAGTGGGGATCGCGCCTCCCTGGGGGACCACCGGCCCCAGAGGCCATCTGAGCCATTCCCCCGGCCTCTGCGGGCCCGCCCCGAGCCGTGGCGGCGACGTAGACCCGGCAGGCCCCCCTCACGCACCCGGACAGAGGCGGGGCTTCGCGGACGCTCGCGGCAGGGGGCGGTGGAGAGAGCCCCGCCCGCCGTCGCCGGGAGACAGTCGCCTAGAAATTGGGGCACGGGCGGAACCAATGGGAAACCGCTGCGGAGGGCAGGGCCCAGCAGAGCCACGGGGAGGGGCTGCGGCGCCGCGAGGACTGGGAGCCCTGTGTTGCCACCCGCGGCCCGGGTCCAGGCGTCTGGACAGCGAGACGCGCGGACCAGAAGCGTGGTCCGCACGCGGGCGGGGGCGGGGGTGCCCGTGGAGGCCGCGCGTTCCGCCCCCGACACGCGGGGCGGCGGCCGCCCGCCAGAGGGCGCCATGGGACGCTCCAACCCACGCGCAACCGCGCGTGAACCGGCCCCATTCAACACCCGTGCTCTCCATGCAGACTTGGGCGGAAAACCTCCCGACGATGTCGCGGCACACCCATTTACCCACTGACACCTCCCTCTCCCTGGGCTCCTGTCCCTCTTTGGGGCTCACCTACCCCACTGTGCGCGCGCTTGTGTGTGTCTGGCCGGGATTCTTTCTCCGCTAGGCGTCCCCAGACCTCCAGGAAAGGCGCAGAGGACAGAACCCACCCCTCTCACCTGGACCTGCCCCGACTCCGCAGAGGTTTAGTGTGAGCGAAGGGCGAGCGGGGGCTCAAGAGCACAGAGTATGGGACGATCCCTTTCTCTCTAAACTTAGAAACTCTGGCCAGCCTGCTGCTTGGCAAAACCTCTGCCCACAACGCGCGCGCGGCCACCATGACCTCTAGATGGCCCCTGTCCTCAGAGGCGATGTAGGAGATGGAGTCGGGTCCGACCCCCACATGTCCCCGTGGACACTCCCTTCCCCTCAGAGCTTCCCTGCCTGCTCTGACCCACAGTACAGTACTGGACAAACGGGGCATTGGATTGCTCAGGCTAGCGAACGCCTACCCCCGCGTGGCCACCCCAGGAACTGCAGGAGTCTGCTGAGCCGGAAACGGCCCTCTGAGAGCCAAAACCCCTTCCTTACTGCCCACCTCTAGGACCTCAGGAAAATCAGAACAAGCTCGCCCCTGGGGCCAGGAAAGGGAACCTGGGTCAGCTCCAGCATGACTGGAAGTGCGTCTGGCCAGTGCGCACAGAGCATAGAAAGGTCTCCTCCCCCACGGCCCTCCCTTCTTGGCACACCGGTGGAGAGCCCCCCTCCCGCAAGGCCCTGTTTTGCTGGGGTGCCTGAAGCCACTGGCACCTGGGAGGAGGGCAGGCCCACAGTTGGGAACAGGAGAACCTTTCTTCCCAAGGCAGGAGGGCAGCCACAGGGCCCCTGGCTCTCTCAACCCACTCCCCAGTCCTGGCTCTCACAAAGCCTCCGCACGGGCTCTCTCTGTAGTCTGGATCAGCAGGAAGCCTCTGGGCTGAGTCTCACCCAATCTCCACCCCAGGCTCCACTTCAGATACAGCCAAGCCCTGGCCCAGAAAAGCTGTCATCTTGGGTCCAGGACATGTCCAGGAAGATGGCTGGGGAGGGCCTGTCCATCTGAGGGCCCCAGGCTGACAGTGCCTCAGGCTGAGAGGGAACCCTGACACACTACACCCTGGAGTTTAACAGAGCTTGTTAGTCTCAGTCTGCCTCAGTTTCCCCATGGGGAAGGCACAGCCTCTGGGAAGCCCCTGATCAGGACAGCAGGAGTCTTACGGCCATCTCCCAGCCTGCCTGTCCCAACATCCAACCGGGCATAAGGAGGACCTGTGCATTCTGTGGGAGGGACCCTGCCACCTCCTATCTCTGGTCCCTGAGGCACAACAAATATTCCTCAGGGCTTCCTCTTGACACAGCTTCGCCCACCTCCTCCTGGTGCCTGTAACTCTCGAGGCATTTCCATTCTTAGAATCACCCGAGTCAGCTCAGGAAGCAGCAGCAGCCAGAGCCAACAGAGCCCCGTCACTGCCTGAAGGAGGTAGGGGACAAAGGGGGCTGGCAGAGCCCCCACTGCTTCTCTACCTCGCCTTGTGTAGAGTAAGAAGGAGACCTGAATGGGCCAAGGCTCAGTGGTCACAGTGAAGCTACTGTGTGCTTCTGGGTCCCTCCAGACCCACCAGGGCCCACTCGACACCTGGCCCCCTGGCCCTGCTCCTGGGGCTCCCTTCCTCTGCCTTCATGGTGCTTCCCCATCTGGTTCTAGGGGAGAGGAGGGGAGGAGGCTGTCTCCTAGCTGGCCTCAAAGGATGGACAGACACAGCCCCGAAGGGGTCACACCTCGGCAGAAGAGGGGTGCCCCATCCTGGCAGCAATGGGCAAGACAACCGGCTGGGGCTGAGCAGCAGGTACCAAGCTTTGTGACTCAGAGTGCCCCGAGGCCAAGCTTGGAGCATCCAAAGGCCCAGGAGTAGCCTGCACGCTGTCTGGGCAGCCTCTACTCTTTCCCTCTCCCTTAAACAATAGCCTGGCAGTGCATGTCCCTACAGCTCAGGCTTTGTCTGACCTGCTGTGATGGGGAGACAGCTTTCCACCCAGCATCTCCTGGGAGCCCCTCCCAGTGAGCTTCATCGGTCCCTGGGCAGGGCAGCCAGTGACTCCCCAGCTCACCCCGCCTGCCACCTGCTCCTGCCCCGCCTGCTACATACACCCAAGGCCGAGGTCCTGCCGTGCATCTATGCCATGTGTGAACCTCCATCGATGACAGGGGCTGTGAAGGCTTCTCTGCTGCCGGAACTGAGCCCATTTTTCCTCCCCAAATATGGCTGAGCTCAAGCCAGAGAGGCTAGCCAGCAGCACAGTAATATACGTGGCAGCCCACCTGGTTACCCATCCCCATTCCACTCCTAGCTCTCACACCTTAGTTTAACCCCGAGCTCAATCAGGTGTCTACAAGAGGTAACCAGGCCAACTTCCTATTAGGTCCTGTATTCTCAAAGGGTGGGGACCAGGTCAGTCCCTTTGGAAGGTCACAAGCCTATCTGTACCCTCCAGGTTCAAGGACCTGTGCTAGGCACTGGGATGACTCAGACCCAGGCTCCCAGTCTGGGCTATAGCCTAGCCCTAGTGTATAGGGATAAGGGTGCAGGGTGTGAAGTGGAGTGACCAGAGGCTCATGCTGTTTAGAGAGGAAGACTGTCTGGTGGACCCAGAGACACCCCTCCCTCCCAAAGCCAGGACCCCAACACATGGCCTATCGGCCAGGTCAGCAAGGAGATGCTGGCACAGGACTAGTGGGAAAGGGAGATCGCCCATCCTCCCATCCTCGGGAGAGGCCCAGGGCCCTGCTGTGAGGGTCAGAGGGCTAGGTTTGGGCCCACCCACTCCTCGCCGCAGCTCCAGGCTGGCGGCACTACCCCGCCACAGACAATGATTATCGATTATCTCTACTGGCTGGATGACGGCCGGCGGGGGCGGGGTCGCGCCTGGAGGCCAGCGGCATTGATGCTACAATAGGTGACAGCCGACCGGGCCTCGAGACAAGCTGAAGGCGGGGAGCACGTACCTGCTTGTCTTCTGCGGGGTCCGGGTCGGGGTCGCGGTCAGGTCCAGGCGGGTCCAGGCCAGAGGGCGGGGGAGAGACGGAGAGACACGGTGAGAGGCGGGCGGACGGCAGGGACAAAGGCGCGCGCGGGCACGCGGGCGGGCGCCGGGCTCACCTGGGGTCGCCAGCTTGCTCTTGTACCGCAGGCCCGTGCTCATGGTGGCCGCCGGCGGGGGACGTGCGGTGGCGGCG